ATGGAAGGTGTTCCAGGCCCTTAATGATCTTAGTGGCTCTACGCTGGACCCTCTCCAGTAGTTCCTTGTCCTTCCTGAACGAACTGAGGAGCTCAGAACTGGACACAGTACTCCAGGTGAGGCCTCACCAGTGCATAGGAGAGGGGGAGGGTAACTTCCCTTGACCTGCTGGCCCTGCTCTTCTTAATGCATCCCAGGATGCCACTGGCCTTGGCTGTGAGGGCACACTGTTGGCTCATGGTCATCCTGTTGTCCACTGAGACTCCAAGGTCCTTTTCCTCAGAGCTGCCCTCCAGCAGAACAGCCCCCAATCTGTACTGATACATGGGGTTGTTCTTCCCCAGATGCAGTACTTCACACTTGTCCTTATTGAATTTCATTTGATTTCTCCCCGCCCAGCTCTCCAGCCTATCCAGGTCACGCTGGGTGGCAGCACAGCCCTCTGGCGTGGCAGCCACTCCTCCCAGTTTTGTATCATCAGCAAACTTCGTCCAAACTTCCATCCCTTCGTCCAGGTCATTGATGAATATATTGAATAGGGCTGGACCCAGCACTGACCCCTGGGGGATGCCACTAGCCACAAGCCTCCAACTAGACTCTGCCCTAGTGACCACAACTCTCTCAGGTCTTTCCTTCAGACCACCTTTCCCAATCCACCTCATCGCCCAATGGTCCAGTCTGCACTTCCTAAGCTTGTCTATGAGGATGTCATGGGAGATCATGCCAAAAGCTTTGCTGAAGTCTACGCAGACCACATTCACTGCCCTCCCATCGTCTACCCATCTAGTGATGCCATCATAAAAAGCTATCAGATTGGTCAAGCATGACTTCCCCTTGTTGAATCCTTTTTGAACAAAAGAAAATAAGAACATAGTATGGATTTAACAATAAACGTAGACAGTTTGTGTAAGCTGACTCAGAAAATAAACCTTTCGCATACAGAAGATTGGACAGCTCTATGTCCGTGCCACTATTCAAGTTTTCTTTGTGCTACTGAGAACCACTCTACATCTGATGACATACCGATGTGCAAAATATCCAGGAGTTTGTGAGGTTTCTACCAAGAACAGATGGGCAACTGATGTCATGTAACTGGACTTGTGCAAAGCCTTCGATACTGTCCCACACGACATCCTTGTCTCTAAACTGGAGAGACATGGATCTGACGGATGGATCGCTCAATGGATAAAGAACTGGCTGGATGGTCACACTCACAGTTGTGGTCAACAGCTCAGTGCCTGAGTGGAGACCAGTAACAAGCAGCGTTCCTCAGTAGTTGGTGTTGGGACTGGTACTGTTTAACCAGTACTGTTTAACAACTTCGTTAGTGACATGGATAATGGCATTGAGTGCACCCTCAGCAAGTTTGCTGACGACATCAAGCTGTGTGGTGCGGTTGACATTCTGGAGGGAAGGGATGCCATCCCGAGGGACATGGACAGGCTGGAGAGGTGGGCCACTGCCAACCTCATGAAGTTCAACAAGGCCAAGTGCAAGGTCCTGCACCCAGTTTGGGGCAATCCCAAATACAAGTACTGGCTGGGTGAAGAGTGGCTTGAGAGCAGCCCTGAAGAGAAGGACTTGGGGGTACTGATGGATGAAAAGCTGGACATGAGCTGGCAGCTTGCGCTGGCAGCCCAGAAAGCCAATGGTAAGCTGGGCTGTATTCAAAGAAGCGTGGCCAGCAGGTCAAGGGAGGTGATTCTCCCCTCTGCTCCTGTGAGACCCTACCTGGAGTACTGCGTCCAGCTGTGGAGCCCTCAACATAAGAAGGATATAGATCAGTTGGAACAAGTCCAGAGGAGGGCCACGAAGATGATCAGAGGGCTGGAGCACCAAACCATTCTATGATTCTATGTTATCATTATCCAGAGTAGTCTCTGAAAACTGTCGAGTTATTTGGCTACAATATTGTTATTATAGAATCATAGAATGGGTTGGGTTGGGACGGAGCCTTAAAATTTTGGGTTGGAACGGACCTTAAAGATCATCTAGTTCCAACGCCCCCGCCATGGGCAGGGACACCTTCCACTAGACTATGTTGCTCAAAGCCACATCCAGCCTCGCCTTGAAGACAGCCAAGGATGGGGCATCCACAACTTCTCTGGGCAACCTGTTCCAGACTGTCAGCAGCAGGGGAGGAATTTAATACAGTTATTAACATTTATAGATGAAGATACGGGAGTAGAACATAGATAACTGACTTCACTGAAGCTCAGCTGGGTCAAGTAAGTAATGAAACACAAAACATCAAGCCTCTGGAGAAGAGTTAAGGAATAAAGATTTATAGCTTGGGTAATAATAACAGCAGTGAGACTTGCTAGAGATACACAAAGCTATGTACCTAAGTTCCAAGAAATTTGACTTCTCTCCTAGGAAACTGCAAAGACAATTAAGCCTCTACCAGTAGCTGAGCTGATGCGGCAAAAATCGTAATGCAGATCCTAAATACGACATCATTATCCCCACAATGAAGACATACTTATCTCTTTCCCAGAAGAATGAGAGGGGCACAGGTAAACCAAAGAGACATTGGGAACGTATTCCTCTGTAATCTTCATTTACTGTTATTACACACAGGGGTCAAACTTAGCATTTTGGGGGGAGCATAACTCAGCTTTCTGAAAGACTGGGCATGCACATGTGCCTCTGCTCTTACATACAGATCCTCAGAGCCAGACAGGATGTGGGGACTGCAGGATGTTCCCTTCCTTGTCCCAGCCACACTGTCAGAACTGAAGATGCTAATACTGTGTGCATCACTGCCAAAGCATCAGTAATAATATTCTGAACTAATGAGATTTAAACCATCTTCTTCAAAAGCAAAATGGAGAGTGTTATCTTTTAGAACTCATTTTTGTAAAAGAAGATGAAAAATGAAATGAAAACGACCTCAGAACATTTCTTCCTTCTGCTGTGCTGAGTGAGATTACCAGCTGAAGTAAAGAACAGGTAACAGGGCTGATGAAAACTGCTCTTGGTCTTCCAGCAAAATGTTTTAAGGTTCAATGAACTGATCTTTCCAGTAATATTTTTTAGGCATGCAGTTGTAGTATTTCGCATTTGCTAAGTGCAACATATTATTTGAGCATATATATACACCCAAATACATAAGGCACACAGAGTACGCTCTCCGTCGGTAGGCATTACAGATTCCTGTTTCAATCCCATATGCAGGCCTCTACAACTGAAAGCCTCTGGGGATGGGTAAGGAGGAACAAAATCCTAAACAAATTAAGAAACAGAAAAGAAAACTGGTAACTATTGTCATGGTTTAAACTGGCTAGCAAAATACCACAAAGCCGCTCTCACAAATTCTCCTGCCCCTACTCCAGTGGAGGGAGAGAATTGGAGGGAAAAGGACAAGGAAGCTCGTAAAATTGAGGTATGAAAAATTTACTAACTGAATATAAATTAACATATACAAATAGTACTACTACTAAGTAATCAATAGAAAATAAAACATATGATACAATTTTGATACAGTTGCTCATCACCCACTAACTAGTGCACAACAAGGTGCTGAGAAGTCAGAGTCAGAGCCCAAGAGCTGCAGTATGAGAGTGATCACAGCCCAAGAGCTATCACAGCAGATTCTGAGCGAACCCTATCAGTGATAGCAAGAGCAGGAAAACTAAACAAACCCACCAACTCCCTCATGAATGAGTCAGCACAGGAGTTAGCAAAGCAGCTAACACAGGAGTCAGGGAGAGCATTAGCAAGTGTACGGAAGTAAACAAGCAAGAGAGTAAGAGAGTAATGGCTCCCAGACCCCCTCCTCACCTATGCCCTGAGCATGACGTACTATGGCATGAAATACTTCTTTGGTCAGTTTGGGTCAGCTGTCTGAACTGTGTGTCCCTTACACTGCCTGTAGAGAGACAGCGAGAGCTGGGAATGCAGCTGCAGCATCAGAAGCGGCGCAAGAACTCGAATCTGGTGCAGGCATTCCCCAGTGCCAGCTAATACCTTATCAGTACTTCTCTCAGCATCCAGGAACAAAGATTCATAGCAGCCACGGTTTTTTTTCCCGACTGAACCCAGGACACTATCCTTTCTGAAGTTCTCTATTTGATGAAGTAGTTTAAGCATCAGAGCAATCTTTCCCAGTTTAATGCTTAGCTCAGTATTTTCTGCTTCTTTTCCATATCATAAACAAGGGCTCATGTACCTTGGATTATTTCTGTTTTTCAAATTAAATAATGAAAAATAACCATACCTCCCACACCAATAATCTTGTCCTTAATCAAAGGAAAAAATGTCTCTCTAGTGTATCAGAATGCCTCAGAAAATCCCTGAGCTGAATACCAGGGTAGGCTGGGAACACATGCAGCTTATACTTTTATCCCTACTTGCAACCTTTTTTATCAGCCACTATCACAGGAGGATACTGGGCTAGACCAGCCTTCTGTCTGACAGAAGATGTCTGTTCTTTTAATATCTCTATTTACAAACAATTTCAAATTCACATGGTGGACCACAGTTTTTATAATGGTGAAGAAAACCATGAATAAAATACATAGAAACTTTTACTTTAGGGTCTCTAATATATCCAACTCAAAACAGTATAATAAAGAAGCTATTAACTTAGAAGCTCTTTTTGTATGACCTACCGTGCAGGACCAGATGGCTCCTCTCTTGCTGAACTTAAAACAGTTTTAATTATGAGTTCCTAAAACAAAGAGGAAAATACTCCTGATTTACCAATAACTCCATCACACATAGCATCAGAAAATTATAATTTTATTATAGCACACAGAGTCATGTTGCTTAGTCAAGTCTCAAGGTTTGTGGTCAGATGAACTGTTTGCTTACCACTACTCCGAGTTTCTAGACTGCCCCAGATGCTCATTATTGTGCTACCCCAAAAATATTCTACACGTAACTGTCCTAATTTCTGCCTATTAACCATTTATCCAATTCTTGCCAATATGTTTCCATAAAATATCAAGAATCAAAAAAATGCAACGACTCCCTAAAGCTAGCTTCTGTGAATAGCGCTAAGGGTATTACAGAAGGAATCTATTACCCTGAGGCTTAAATAAGCATTTTTCATTTTTTATTTAAATCAAAATTATATTGATTTTAATAGTCTTTGGAAGTAGTTGCAGAACTAGTGACCACGATGCCTTAAGAATGTTGTCAAGAAAAATTTTGACTCAACTGCAGTGAAATATTCCTAAAGCTGTAGGTTGCTCTCAATAAAGCTCAAGTGAACAACTATTATACAATAGAAAGGAGAAAGGAAGAATTCAAAACCAGCCCTCAGGGAAGCAAGGTGTAAAGCAGCTTCCAAGCCATCACCTCTCTCTCTAAACTGAAACAGTTTGGAAACTTGCGGAGAGTATTTCTTAGACAAAGTAATCGTACCTGATAAATGTAGCAGTTAAACACAGAAACTGAGCTCTGCGTGGTTTCAGTATACTGGTACACTACCCATCTCTGTGTTATGACAGAGAGGGTAAGGTCTCCATTAATCTTTGCTTTTTCTCTAAAAGAACATACTGATGTACAGAGGTTTTTCTAAAGTTCCTAGGAACACAGGCAGAATCCATCAGTTGTGAATTCTCAATACATTATTTATCTTAAACCTCTCAATATTCTTGTCTCAGCTCATTAAATCTGTGAGACTGCAAACAGCCACGAGAGCAGGCTTGAAAAAGTGACAAAACACATCATCATTTTACAAACATACAAACCCACTTTATTATTAAGTTAAGAGTAATTATAAAGTATGCTTAGTAGTATAAAATTTGACAAGATTTTATGGAATCTTGAGCCTGATAATCTATTTGAAATTATTTCTGAAAAATTTTAGAATCTTAAAAGTTTTAGTTAGCATTTTCTGGAAAAACATCATATTAAACATACTTGGTAGCTGAATACCATCCAAATATTGTTCAAGTTCCTACCTTAACATCTGTGAACTGAGACACAGCAATGTCAGGAATGTTTGGGTGAAGAGCTGGTAGTTCATGATATAAATTGGGAAAACAGACTAGAGATCCTAGAAGAACTTGTGCTTCTACTCTTGGTGCCTAAAAGAAATAAGGTGGGCATAAATATATATTCTTAGTGCAATTAGAAAGGTGACATTTCTAGCTGCCTTAAAAGAGAACAGCTGAAACGTTACACAGCTATTTCCTTTCTCCTGCAAGTTCTGTAGAGCTCAGCAAACCCAGACCACAGTCCCATGGATTGCTATTCATGCACACCCCATGGTTCCCATTTTCCAAAACGGTCAAAAGCAAGCGGAAGAATCATTAGTACTACAGACAAATGACTCAGCTGCTAATGAGGCTTGGGTCTTCGGTTCAGCTAACTGAACAGGATGTTGTAAACTACTGGACATGACAGGTAACAGTGTAAGAGGCTGAGGGAGGTTTGAGACAGTAGCTTGATGGAAGCTGGATTTTATATCCTGGTTAAAGAGGAAATGATGTGATAAACAGTCAAAACTCACAGACAATTTGAGGGGAGTACTGGGGAACTTTGAGAAAATAAAGTCATACAAGGCCACAGCCCCTTCAGTAATCATATCAGTATTACTATATAAGCCTGAAGTTGCCCGAGAAACAATATCAGAAATATATCCAAATAGTGCAAATACTAGCAGATTTGAGTTCTCAAGCCTGATTGTCAAAATCATTGCATAGCAGAGATGTGGAGGAATAAATATACTTTTTAAATGAAGGTACAGTCAAATTGAACATTTATTTTAAAACATTTTAATGCTAAAATGGCAGATAAATGGTAGTCACAATGCAAAGAACTCTGTAGTAAAAGAAGATTCTCTGCTTCAACAGTAATTCTTCACATATTTCCTGGAGAGGACTTGCATATGTAGTGTTCCAGAATAAACCAGTGGCAGTTTCTGTATTTGCTAACCACTACATTGAACTCTGGGGTCAAGTTAACACCCTAGTCAAGGAAAAATACTGCTTAGTTTTCTCTCAAATCCTTTCTACTCACACATAAATGAGAATTAAGTGACGAATGCTTACATTGAGGAAAGACGAAGCAGCCACTCTTCCTGCTGCTACAATGAAATCCATAATAAGCATGGTGGCACCAGGCAAACCAAGAGAAAAAAACTGAGGAGAGCAGTGTTTGATGATTGTATTGACAATATCCTTGCAGGGTGAAAAGGGAAAAAAAGGAAGAGTATTAAAAGACAGGTATTTACTAAAGGTAGAAAGTAAAAACACAAGAAGGCAAACCTATTGTGGCAATTAAGACTCTCATTACTGAGTGAAGAGTAGCATAAAAAGATAGATTTCTTAGGTGTACTCATATTAAGTAAACTGTGGTATACTTATAAATCAATTAAATCGTAGACACTTTGTATGAGGTTGGTACCAAGTCACATCTTACGTTAATTTATGTTTAGCTTTTAAGAGTCCTATAAATGATTAACCATTCATTTAAATATGTACAGAAGAGATATAGTGAGATAACCGGCTATTATATCATCTTAACAACATGCTTAATCCCCTCCAATAAGTATTACCTGACTATCACTTTTAAAAAGGTATTAGTCTCTTACATATATCCATATGGATCAAAATATAAAGAAAGAATTACAATGAAGTGTTTGGTAACATTTCTGGTATACAGTTACTCAACATAGCATATTACATTCTTGTAGACTTAGTGAGGCAGTTTTTAAAATTAATGTACATGATACAATTTCTTCAAAAGTACCAAAAAGAGGCTAAAAAGTTTTAATTATTACAAAACATCCCAAGTTCACAGATAGGAAAAAAAAATAACCCTTTTCCTCCTTTGAACAATTCTCCAATAGTAGTGATATCCAGCTAAGTGGAAATGTGTTATAGAAAGATTAGCAATCCAGCAAGAAAAGCAGCATAAACTGGTTGTTAGAGGACAGAAACTGGAGATCTGTCCTATCCATAGTCATCTGTGGAATAATTCTGGATTAGTTAATGAAAACAAGGTTGGCTGAACCTTTGATCTCCCTGTGCCCCTAACTGCTCCTCCAAAAAAGTTCACAAAACCAACTTTTTCACACTTCTGATGCAAGCCTTTAAAAAGAGCGTTTAAGTCATACAACCTATTCCTATTAAAATCTATTAAAAAGTTTTACTCCCACTGATTAGATACACTCAGTATGTCTCAGTTTGCTGGTTCCTATACTTGGTGTAGAACTAAACTACTCCAGTATAGTGAGCACAGTTTATTTCCTCACTAGTTAAAACTGAAGAACAGTTAAAACTGAACAGTAGACCTTAGAAAGATCTGCTTCCTTCTCCTTCTTGTATGCTTCAATCTGTAAAATACAATCAGTAAAAAAATGACAGAGTACCTTTTCTACTCTTGTATTTGCTTGAAAGGGACCAAAAAAAGCATTTCAGATTACAACCAAGAACATGAGGGACATTTATCAAAGTTTAGACAATGTAACAGTCACATAACTATTTTCAAAAACAAAGTTACATTACTCAGCTGAAAATCCATTCAGTACTTTTGATAAAAAATGTTTTTAGTTACAATACTTGTATTAACCTGAATTTAATAATTAAACTTACTTGATCAACATGAAGAAGTCCACAGTGCATTATATTGTAGAAATGAGTTAAAAAATCCCTGTTTGGAGAAACATCTTGTCTTCGCTTCATTGTCTTACAAATGAGTTTATAAGCATGTAGCTTTCCTTGTTTGTATTTATCAGTGAGCATTGTTGCCTACAGTTTTAGAACAATATTTATTATTCATAAAGAAAAAAATACAGTAAGCATTCTTCTACACTTACATGAACTTTTGTTTCTGTTTCACTGCTTAGTGCTCAAATTTACCTTGAACAGCCATGGCGTTAGAATCCTTAGTGGTGGAATTAGAACTGGTGGAGATGGGGAAGTTAGGTTATCTGTTGAAATACCAAGATTGTCTCTTATCTGCAATTATTAAAAAGAAAACAAGATGATAAATATTTAAGGGAAATACATAAGATGGTTTTTTTTCCCTTGTGAAAATCCTGCCCCAGCAGGTCAGGCTGGAGGAGAGGTTCAGCTCTTTTACCTTGGCCAGATTCTGCCACAGTTCACACAGGTAATCAAAAACCTGGGCATGAATTTCTGGATCTATGATGCTGTTGACATCTCCCAAAATTCCTAGCATTCGCCTCCACATCACAGTTGCAACATCTGCATTCCACCCTGTAAGTGTTCCCCCAGCCATCACACTGCAACATTCTGAGGGGAAATCACTAGTTTCTGTAATGCAAGAAAAAATTATAGTGAGACCTACCTGTCCAGAAAAAGTTCTGATAAGTCTTACATACAGTTTTCTTAAAACCAAAAGGAAAAAAAAAGCTCAGGCTTTCAGAGTAAGATATTTCTTATCCATTCAGCCACTTCAACACTGGATATGTTTAACTATATGTTTATTATCTAACTCTGTAGAGGAAGAATCGTTGTGTTTCTTATATTCTTTCCATAAATAACATTTAAGGTCACTACTGAAGCCCTAATATGGGTCTGATGGACCTACTTAGGCTACTCCTTTTCTAAGTGGTGTCTTACATTCTTTGGTGTCAATGACTCCAGAACTCCACCTGCATGCTTCCAAGTAAAATTACATTACAACTTTATATTTTTCCCAATTAAACGAAAAGCTGATTTTCTTTATAAACTCCTAAGAATGCAAAATGAAGAGGAAGTTGATAGTAAACTTGTCTCTAACTACTGTTCTTCAAGCAGTAAATTTGTATGAGTGGAGAGACAACCTAGCATCGGTCTAACTCTCACCTGGCTCTCTCTACTCATCAGTGTCATACGAATGAACATTCTTTTTTAGGTAGAAGATGATTCATCTGGTTTGTCCATACAAAGAAAACTTTGACAGATCACGATGGCTAAAGTCTACTCAGCTCACACTTAACTAGCTAAGGAGCCCAGTTTTAAAGCAACAGGCATCCAGAATCTCCTTACCACCCCTCTTAGACAGATTTTCCAAACACCTCAGCTTAAGCATTTGCTGAGATTTTCTGAAAATCTTGCAGTTCCCACAGGCATTCAAAATTAAAATTAAATCTCAATTCAGCCTAATCACATGGCCTCTTCTTCTGAAGATCTGGACCACTGTCGTAGAGACACTAATGGTTTCTAGGGTGTAGGGTTCAAAGTACAAAACAAAATTATGATATTTCTGTTTATCAGTGGGCAACTTAAAGGAAACGAGACTGAAATATAAATCAGATGCTCTTCTGTTTCCATAAGACCAAATACAGGAGAAACGGGAACTTCATATTTACAAAGTGAATGTATCCTAGAATTCAACTGCTCAGATACCTGAAGTGATTATAAATTTGTTTAAACATAACAGGGAAAAGAACTAAACTTTCAAGGAGAAATTATAACATTACTTTAAAATTATGTCTTATTATTTGTACATTGATGATAAAACAGTCCATGGGAGGGCCACATACTAGATTAAGCAGCCACAACTGTAAGCATCAAAAAAACCAATTCTAAATCCATGGACTATTAATCCACTGGTAATAATTGCAGTGAACTGCAAGATAAAATGCAAAATTTTTTTTTTTTTGCTTTCAAAAGAAATCACTGTAACTAAGTATTTTTAAAAATGCAGACAAAATAGCCTTGTACATTAGTTTACAACTAATGTGATACTAGCTACTTTACTATATTGCATTTGAAAGAAAGAAAGAACAGTTTTATATCTTCTATTCCAGATATTGCCTAGGTCATCTGGCGTCTGTAAAACAGAGTGGTGGAGCTTCTCATCCAGCTGCAGATCCTTCTGCTCAATATGATCTGTATGAAGAGTGGCAGGAGAGGGTGTCTGTGATCGGGATCCATGAGCAGATTGGATTGGAGAGGCATTTTCAGAGCCTGCAAATGCAATTTTTAACAGTTACCTTAAAAGCCTTTTCTATTTCTTGAGCTACTGAAATGTTGCCTAAACACAGAATTAAAAGAAAACTGAGCTACTATTATGTATCAAATCAGGCCAAGAAAATATATAAAAACCATAAGCAGATTCCCCTGTGAACGGTGCTCTGAAAGAAAACAAATTATAAGCAGGAAAGCTAAGAGATGACAAACATCAAAATCAGATAGCTAGATGGATTAATGGAGCTCTCTATTTTAGGTCCAAATAATTTAAAATGTGTTTGTTCTGCTGCAGTTTCAGTGTACTTAACCAGTCAAATTTCACCTATGTTTCTCTCCTGCAAAATGTTTAAGAAGAAATTTTCCTGGAACATGCTTTTCCAGGTTGATGGATGCATGCAAGTTAATTTACAAAATACAAAAGCTCAAACTAGTAACAATGTTTGATGTTTATCTGCTGACTGGGTTGAGAAAATCCATATGGAGGGAAAGTTCTGTATAGTTAAGAGGAATGTTATTTCCTCCAAGACAGGAAAATACAAGCATTTAAATGGCAGTGCTGCAACGGCATTTTTCTACAATCACCACTGAGCAACCTCTCTAGGCTACTATTTGGTTTCCCCTACTGAGAGATCTGTGGAGAGGGAGTAGATGCCTGTATTTTTTTTTTGCACTACCTTAGTTTCATTTCCTGAATTTGCCTACAGGTCCCTATAAAAAAAACTCAGTTCAGCCAGAACAGTCAGATGGCAGAAAAAAAAAAAAAAAAAAAAAGGAACAGATATCAGCACATGTTAAAATAGAAGAATTTAAACCTAACTGAACTCTTATATAAATGTAACTTGGACCCAAATATATTATGTGTGAAATTCAGTATTAGAGAGAAACTGAACTTTAGGGACAGCAATGACAAAGTGAGTCTTTTAAAACAGTAATTTCCTCAAATTATTGGCTGCAAAGTGTTTTTTTCTTGTAAAGAGAACAAATTATTTAAAGAACTTGACAGAAAATGCCAGTGTTATGAGAACAGAAATCGTGGTAAACTAACTTAATTACACTGTTAAACTCCAAAGGTCTGTATCTGTTTTAAACGGCAAAGACAATTAAGCTTTTACCATCAATTTAAATCATCAGCTCTGTGCAGGAGAGATGGACATTTATTCTTCACGTACAGACTACGGTTTCACTCAACAGGTACTGATACTCTCCTCTCATTACTGATCACTTATTTGCCACATGCCCACAAAGATAATGTAAAATACACACTTAAAAGATGTTCAAATAAATATTTTCCTACTTCCCTTCTGCTCATTAAGTAGGGATGGATGAAAGTAGATCAAGAGAAAGATCAAGAAAGAGTGAAGGTATGGGGAAAGAAGGTGAGGGAGAGGAGGACAGAGAGGGTCAGAGATGGAAGGAGATGGAGAGAGACCTTCGTATGATGGAAGAGAATGGCCAAAAATAATTATGGAAAATACGGAAAATGAACTACTGGATTCTTCTAAGAAGCACTAAAAAAAATTCAAGCATACATGGATCCAAATTTGACAAGAGGATAATACGGGTTCAACTTGTTCTAGGACTCATAAAGAGCAGTTGACAGAAAACTCAATCATTTGCTAAGAATATGAAACAATGCCCATATGACAAGAATAGATTTTCCATCCAGAAGCTTTCAAAGCAGAACTGTTTAGAAACAAGTTGGGGTTTAAGCAGCAGATCCACCAAAAACTTATTTTTTACAAGTGTGTTTTGAGGCTGAATTTCTGCATGCATTTGAGGGTATGTAATACAGCAAATTTACTCTGCACACATGCAACTTCCGCTAGACAGACACCTATCTTTCATAAAATTTCAAAGAAAATTATGTCTTTCCATTTTCTCCTTATATGCTAATTTATCAGAAATTAGACAATAGGCTCTAACATTGTTGGGGGCATGGAACAGTCAAAGACAGTGTAATTGCAAACGCCTTGCTTCCTCAGGAAACCCAGCTAAATGCAGATGACACACAAAAGCTGCCTCTCTAAAACAGTGGTCCAAACAACAAGAAGAGAGCCACAGAATCTCTCAATAGACAACTGAGTTGCAGTTGCAATCTTACGAATTCATTTATACTGCAGACTTGGACAAAAATACCAAACTAATGAAATTATTAACATATAAAGTCAAACAAACAGAATAAGAACAGATTTTCCCAAGGACTTTCAACAAACACACAGCAAAGAGAAAAACGAAGAAAACAAAAATCAAGCTGAACATTGTTGAACAAGCTGAGCAACAATGTCCAAGAAAGTTAATACCATGCTTCTTTCAGCACAAAGGCAATTTTAGAAAGCAGAAACTGTGGTGTGAGAAGTAAAGGCGTCTTTCAGTATATCTAAAAATACAGAGTTTGATTTCTCACAGACAACAAGATAGTGTATGTAGGTATAAGTTTTCACAAATAAGTACTTGTTCCCTGTGTTGTAACAGGAATGGTAGTGTGTAACAGTTATGGAACAAGGAGTATGACAATTACTATAGACTTGTCATCTACAAAATCTGGCAACAGATTGTTCTTCCAAATACTCCTCAGAGAGAGATTGTCTCTTCCAGAAGGGAACCCATTCCATTTGGGTTAAACTTGGTGGTTGCTAACCTAATTGTCATTTTATCTTTCTCAAGAAACAGTTGCAAAGTAAAATGGTGGAGCCTCAAGCTCACCAACTGAGGTTGTGAAACACTGCTTCGTAACAGGCTTACTTTTTCATGTAAACAACAAGGAAAGTACTAAAAGAATTCTTAAGTTACACAAATGGAAACTGATCTTACATGGTAGAATAACTAACATTTTGCATATTAAATGCTCTCAGTTACACAACAGACAATATAGAGAGAGGTTAAGATGGGTGTATATAAAAGAATCCCATGATAATTCAGTGTGATACACTGGTTTGAAAGAGAAGTGTCAAAGCCCTACAAGGAAAAAAACCCTCCCTGAAAATTAGCTATTTGGCTACCAGTAATAAGAGGACACATAAGAGATGTATCATACATTATGTGGGAAGAATTTTCTCCCTGGTAATTGTACACATTTTGTCATGAAGGGTTTGAAATACATTTAGCAGCAAGCCAAGGATTGTATGGGTAACTAAGTCAGACAAAGGTTTTTCACTTATGTTATTTTACACATCACATTCAAACAGCAATCAAAAAAACCCACTGAAATCTAAGTATCATCTTATACAGAATATAGATTCACTGCAGAAGCTGGAACTTGCATTCCTCAGGACAGTTAGAAAATTTCTGAAATAAATGCACTTCTTTTTTTTTTTTTTAACTACTTTACCAGTAATAGTTGCAGCTTCAGCAGACAATGGTTGCTGATTGAGACTACTTGTTTCTGAATCTATGTGAAGTGTGGTTAGACTGGCCACTTCTTGCTCCTCAGCACTCTGCTGCTGTCCTGAAATTGCATCAATGTCAGTGGAAGCTGGCATCCCTCCCTCAGAGCCAAAGCTGAAATCTGTATGAGGAAAGAACTGTATTAACTTACAACCTAAAAATAGCACTAGTATAAAATCCAAAAGCCCAGCACCTTCAAAATCAGAAACCTTTATTAAATTTTACCTAAATGTTTTCAAAAGAATTAAAATAAAGGTTACTTATTTTGGAAGTTAATTTTTGTAAGTTGTGCAAAACAGATGGACATACTCCAGGGAGCATATTGTTTTCTAACTTCTGTTCACTGTTCTGCTTTTTGCACAGTAGCATTCCATTGTTTTGTTTAGCATACTATAGAAGGCAAGGGTAGTGCAGGGAAGGGAAGAAAAATTTGCAAACAAGCAAGCAAGTAAATATGTTACTGCTTTTGGAAAAATATACTTGCTTTCAAATTTGTGTCCATCATACTGGAAGGCACTGAAAGAGTCAGAGTGGCTGTCCGAACTGATGAGATCACTGCTGCCCGCACTGGCAGGTGATGTCCATTCGGAAGGCACTCCTGGGTCATCTACAGGACGCATTTGATTCTGTTTGTTCAATATATCAGGAAGGTCTTTAGGAACTTCCAGGCTGCCAGGACTGCTTCCTCTTCTTGCCACATTCTAAACATTGAAGAGACATAAAATATCTTTGACTGTAATCTTGGATATTTACATAAAAAGGAAAAAGCAATCCCACTTTTGCAAATGTCGGAATTTAACAAATAGATAAGTACCAGAAACTGTCAGCATGCTACATACATAGCCAAGAGCTTCCAAACCCCAAACAGGCAGCAGTAAGTGAAGAACCCATGCAGTCACAGAATTTCATAAATACAAATTTTATTTGCCCAATGAATTTTTGGGCACATACTTAAAATGTTAGGATTCAGACTAGCATGTGCCACATGTATTAGGTAAGACTTGAGAGAGAAAAATAGTAAAAAGTATATTATCCACTAACTATGTGTAAATTACTAAAGAAAACATGCTAGCCTTGGTTCCAGCCAAAAGTGGGGGGGGGGTGGTGGAGGAAAGAGTCAAGGAATTTTGTGTTTTCTGGCCTATAGGCTACCAAGCAAAAATTTGATGTAGACCACAAGCAAATGAATTTACTAATTCATGCATTAATTTTCTTATGAGTAAGCCAATACCTTGGTATTGACTTGGATACCAAAGACAGCATATCAAAACTAACATATAGCAGAAATAAGGCATATAGATTTTCTCATGTAAAAATAAGGTGTTGTTCTACTTGGAGTGTTTCTTTCAGCCATATTTTTTTTTTCCTCAGATAGGACTGTTTGCTTGAGAGGATAAAGATAAAAGGAGAAAAGCCATTTTATGAAATGGCTTGAAATCTTTATGCATTATGAGACTGAAGATGACTTCCTTTTACAGCGGGCCCAGGCACTTCTCTATTCTTTTGCTACCCTACTGCTAATTAGAGATTTACTCAGACTGACAAGCTTTTCATGCCACAAGGTCTGAGCATTCAATAGATATAACAACCTAAAACCTTAATAAATTGGTACTGTTTTAAGAAGGCATATTTATTTTTGCGTGCTAATTACAAAATCAGTGTCAGTTTCAAAATATTTGTTCAAACACACCTTGGCTTGTTTTTATTAGCTACGGAAAGTATCAGTTCTCCTGTCTGAACTATTAATAAAGGTTCTTGCTCATTTATGTGAAAACAAATAGTATTCACTCTCTCTCTTCTTCTGTGGCCAGCTGTGATGATGTCCATTTTATTAATCTGCAGACTAAGTAAACATTTTTTATAGACTATTTTTGTCTTGTAACTCAAGACTTACTAACAAGGATACTTTACATCTACAATCAAGTTTCATAAACATGAGTTCAATACAAAAGAGAAATAAGGCATACATTTGGACAAACTCTATAGGTCCTCTCTTGACATCTATAAAAGATTATGATAAACAAACAGATTTTTCTAATCACTTCAAAGAATCTTCTTCTGTCCCTTATTAGTAACAACTAAACTACTCGTTGACAACTTTCTACACGAGCATGTCATAAAATGACCTTCTTAAAAAAAAAAAGATTCAAAAATTCTAAGCAGAAAAAAGAACTGAACAACTTTGAAACACTACCTTTAAACTGTTACCCATTCTGTTCTTAATTTGCCAACATTTTAAAAAATATTTCACCTTTTGTTGCTAGTTAATACAACACTTATCTCTTCAAATCAGTTGTCTTGTTCTATAAGCATTCAAGAGTAAACAGAAATTCTTGACTTAAAATTGATTAAAATTTTTCATTATGAATGACATTCCAAACAACGTAACACTTCTGGAAAAGTGTAGGAAGAAAGTGTATGGAAAGTTGGTTCAATTAGCAGAGAACTATTAACAAGGTATTATTCCACACTTGTACATGAAAAAGAAAAGGAAAAAAAAAAAAAGGAAAAACATATACTGGTGTAGTTTCGTAGTCCGTTGCACTGACTGTACCTGTAGAGAACAGTACCATATTACAGCATGGTACCTCACTACATACCACACTGAGGACCACAAATTTACAGAATAACTATTATCCTGAAAGTCTCTGTGTACAAAGATCTTTACAGGTGAAATTAAGGTCGTTCAATTCAAAGAGACTATTCATCTCAGAGTAACTTCTGCATTACTTCCACAATGAAGGTTTAATAGATATGAAAACACAAATGGCATAAAATGCCAAAATGTCAAAAGCAAGGAATAATTATATGATATTCTTAATTCTTTCTGATTCATAAAATCCAGAGAAATGTTTAGTGAACTGATTTATAATGCCATTTACAAGTTCATCTATATGAGCAGACTTACATATTGAAATATAGGAAGTTTAAAGGCTTACCAGTGCAATACCACTGCGGAGTCTCTCAGCTATAAATTCATCCATGAGGTCAGGAACATTTGTATTGCTACTGCCAATATCACTATCAATAGGGTGCAGCTTTTGGCTCATGTCCTCTCTATTAGCTAAAAGCAAATGAACAACTGTATATAACAAAGAACACATCAAGACATTTAAAAAAAAAAGTAAAAAATGAAAAAATCTTGCTAATTAATAAAAATGAAAAAAAAAATCATAATTGCCAAACATGCATTTTAAGAATTTGCCTCTTTTAAAGCAGATTCTACTTCAAGAATTAGTATGGCTTCTTCTTCCCACTAAGCAGGGGTTAGTTGATTTCCAGTACTGCCTTTAAGAGCAAGAAGCTTATAGGTAAGCACTACTCAGTTGTTAATGCTTGCTTTAAGGATACAGCATATATTCTTCCTCCATATCACAAAGAATAATTGATAAAACCTAAAAATTTTATGATTCCTACAGGCTCCTTCTTCATTGTATTCCTAATGAAAAGCAGTGTAGCAGAAAAAGTAAACTAGGTTGTAAAACGTGTTAACAATTCTCCATGTGGCACCATATACAGTTAGTATAAACAGTGTGAAGAAAAGTTTATGTAATAAAACTGCATACTAGAACATGGAATGAAAATTCAAACTCTGGGTGGCCAATGGTTATGAACAATTATGTTCACTCATTTATAAGTGTTATATTTTTGATAAAACTATACTGTTCATATTTAACTGTGGCTATTACATCTGACTTCAAGATCTTGCCTTTGAAAGTCTTCAAGTTATCCAAGTTCATGTTCTCTCTATAAAAATTTTTCCCTCAGTGTCATCTCTCGAGACCACAGTGTTGTTTATTCTAATACTGAGGATCTGACAAATGTTACAGATTCCAAATAAAATTAACTTCTAAAATTAGTGCTTTCTTATATCTTTCATAAGCCTAGATTCTGCAAAGAAGCAAATCGCTTTTTTGAGATCCATGACAGTCAGGTTCCCGTGGAGCTCCGCTTACAAAGACTGCCCTCAAGTGGCACTAACATCTCGATGCAGGATGCATTACAGAATCCTTTTTTAGTCACGGCAGTAAAACAATGGGAAAAAAAACTACATTACTGCTGAAAGTTAATTTACTGTTCATTTAAGGTTACTTGAGATATGAACTAAGACAATGGATACCAGAGTGACAGCCTTCTTTTTTGGTTAGTCCACAGAGGTCTAGCAGGTAAAAGAATATTCCACAGAACAGTAGGGGTTGGAACCTTCATGAACATCCACGATTCCAAGAAAATAGAAAGCAATGAAAGATGTTGACAAGATGGAACTGCATCCATTCTGATGAATGAATACAGAAAGGCCTACCGCATGTTTTGAAAAAGATTCAATAAAACCTTATTATTAGACTCACAAGGAACAGTCATAATTAAATCATTCCAGTAACAGATTTCAGTTTAAGACTACTTTTTTTAAAGTTATCTAAACTGACCTCCAAATGCTGAAACATTTGAGGGGCGCTTTTGTTTTGGAGGAGGAAAAGGAAGAAGAGGAAGAAGAAAACACACTAAATGAACCAGAAATACTATTAGTTCAACCTAGCTGGTCAAGAGCCAGGTCTTGACAGACTACACTCAGTGGAACACCACATTCTGATAAAATATGCTTATGCCAATTGTTCAATAGGCTGAATTTTAAGACTCTAAATGGTAGATGAAAATTCAAAACTCTCAAGGCTTAATCCTTTATTAGGTCATTTACTGTCTCTTCCTCTTCCCTAACCAGATGGTCTTCAGCAGCAAAGAGGTTCAACCAAATATCTTGAAAAGGGAAATTAGTAATTTGAATTATGTAAAAGTAACTTGTGCTGGGAATAACATCAGCTGGCTGTAGGCGCATGCATAACCAAACAGGGAAAGCAGTGATCATCCCAAAGCCTTTTGATTGCTTATCAGAGCTTGCTTCAGTTGCATTAAGCCAAACTGGTGCTGCCTTTCTCCTTTTGTGCTCTGCACAGTGTTAGTGCTCACCTGCAGCTTTCCTTCCAAAATAGCCCATTACATGACTGTACAGATCCCTCAGTGGAGCCTCTGCTGGCATTCTGTTCTGCCTCTGTGGGGAAACATTTGCCTTCGGCTTTGAAAGAGCATGTACAACAATTTTATAAACACCACCCAGGGAGCCCTGCTGTTGTGCCGACTCCTGACCTAATGCTCTAAAGGCACTATGATTATGAAACTGATTAACTCCAACACCTTCTTTTTGCAACATGGCTGCTTGAGTTTCTGTAGATTCTTTAATTTGCTTGCTGCCAGCTGAAGCAGCACTGATCGCATCTGGAGGTCTATATAGCCCAGGTCTAACCAGCTCCATGACAGGTGATGAGCTGGTGCTTGCACTGATAGTGCTGTTGCTGCTACCACTACTGAAGCCACTGAGTTTACGAAGTCTTACTTTCCAAGCAGCCTCTTTGCTCTCAAGAGGACTGTAAAATTGAACTGATTCTGTAGATGGCCTGAAAGCAACATGAACGCTATTTCTTTTTTTATTTGTTATTTTCATTATTTTGGCCCTATGAGTTACAGTTTCAGATATACTCCTTTTAGTTGGTGAGAGTTTGCTTGTGTCTGTGATGTGAGGCATTTGAGGGTTAACTTGTGCTTTAGGAAGAATTTTCTTTGCATGCATAACACGTGAGTTGGTTACTTTTTCATTAAACTGGGCACCTTCATGCTTTTCAGCTACCGCTGCTTCCACAGCTAAATCTACATCAGTTTCAGTGGCTGCTTGCCTGTACAGGTATCTCTTCCCTTCTTTGCTGCTAGGACTACTTGACCCATAATCGAACACGCTTTCATATTGTTTATCAATATGTAACTGTTTGGCTGTATCAAGCGCTTGATTGCTTGTAAAAATGTCTACTTGAGTAGGTGCAATATTACTTATGAAGCCATTTTGGTTTTGTTCTAGGTGCAGCTCTGTGTTATCAGCTCTTTCTGTAACAGTGATGCTATTCGAGTATTGACCGGTCTGATCTCTATCTTCTAATCCATCCAGTGGTAATCTATCATTACTGATTAATGAGGTACCAACTTCGTGAGCAGAAGCCTCACATTTAGTTATCTCAAAGTTACTGCAAAGTTCTTTTTCTTTAAGATATTCTCTCAGAGAGGAAAGGAGATCATCTTCACCTTCAAGGTCAACATACTGGCATTGTTCAAAGGCTGAGTTTGCAAATTCTACTGGCCCTATTAAATGACAAAGATGGTCATAAATACTATCCCCAACTTCCAAGGAGGACGTTCTGCTATTTGTATCAGTGATATGGCTTTCAGTGGATTTATGCATTGAAGAGGTCTCAGTGTAACTTTGTAAGCTCGGAGGATGATGGGATGAACTGTCAGTGACAGGAACTGCACCTTTGGCTCGTTCAACAGCAAATGGTTCCAGGATGTCAGAGGTGCTGCTGCTTCGTGGCAGTGGCTGTTCCTCATGTAATGCACCAAAAACTTCACTTGGAGCATCCTCACTCTGTGAAAAATGTCTGACTCGAGGCGGACGTGGAAGAATTTGAGTATCGTCAATGTCTGTAGGAAAAAAGCGTATGTAACATGCACTGAAATTTACATACAGCATTTATTTACTACTACATCCCAATTATGTAACTTTAAAAGCCAGGAAAGTCCAGAGCCTTGTTTTCTTACACACAAAAAAAATATTTTTCCTAGTACTAGAGTGTTAAAAGCACACGCACATAATATCCACTTAGAGAATGTAATATAAATGAGTTAGACCATCAGAACAGTTTTAAATATTAACATGCATGGGAACAAACAATGAGACCATGGAACATTTGGAAATAGTTAAAGCTAGGGCTGTGCCAATAAATTCAATAATTAAACCAATATTATTCTAGCTAGTTTGTTCAGGAAATGGTTATCTGGAATACAAATTAGCTTAACAGTACTAGCCTTCATGGAATTTATACCTTCAGAAAAACGCTTAATTCCAAAGAGAACAAGTAAGTTTTCTGGAAAATTAGAGTTTTCTATTGAAGTGGCAAACGGTTACTTTTTTCACAACTTGTGTGAAAATAAAATAAATTACTGAAATATCAGAAAGAATACTACCATACAATTATGAATATAATGGCATATGTAATATACTGTATACCTAAAGATTAAAGCTTTTAAATGACAGGGAAGACCTGGCCCTATACGGAAAAGATGACTATACATAATGCATAATTTAAAGATATAGCCCCTTTTCCCTAGAAGGATGTTTTGTCTTTCATCTTCAAAATACTAAATGGAGGCTGACCTTCCCCTCTTCTTCTAGTTTTACTCAAGCAAATGTGACATTTATTAGAATTACCAAATTAAGGACTTTGCTACTGAACAACAACATGCAGCCTCACAACAGTTAACCTAAGAGTAAAACCACTTTTGTTCATGAAAAGATCAGAACATTTGTTATGACCATTTCAATCAGTGATTCCTTCTCTCTGTTGAGATAGGTTGCTAATATGTTAACATAACAAATCAGTTAACTGTAATAAAAGCTGCAGTTCAGCTAGGAATTGTATGGAAGTATCTTCAGTGCACTTCACATGATCCACCAAAAGAACCTTTATACTCCTCTTTAGATTTCCTGATATGTTACAGGAACACTAGATACTACCAAATCACCGGTGTAGGCAAGACTAAGCATCTCTTACAAAAAATTCAACTAATTGCAGGAATTCAAGTTATCCCTTGAAGTTTTTCTACGGGATAGGCATTTGCTAGGTAAAACCAGCTTTCTTAATTTTCTGTTGTTTTCTGATAGAATTCCTTATTCCCCAGATTTAGTTTTTACTACCTACCACTTTAAAAGCATATCAATAAAGAGCTTAAATGAACACCATCAAGAGTTACTTGCCCCAGTAAACACACTTACCTTATTATTCTATCTAGAGTCTTTATATTCAGGACTGAAATGGTGAATTTACTTAAAATCAGCACAAAATTCAAGCCTCTCTCCCTCCCCTAAATATGATGTGTTACTGCCAAAATAAATACTTCAAATTATTACTTAATGGATCTCTATACCTATTTCAGTAATATTAAATAATGATAATCTGAAGTCACCTTAAAAACCTGTTTTAAAGTGCTCACACTTTCCTGAGAATGTCAGAGCTGGAGCTGAATTTTCTCGTATTTTCCTTCTGAGAAAAGCATACATACCGGAGGAATTATATATATATGTACTTAACAAAATTTATGTGTTGGAAGAAGATGAAAAATGGTATTTCCATGCTCAGTTTTTCAGAGAAGTTAAAATTTAAAAATTGAAGTTTGGCCTGATATAAAGGTTTACTGAACCGTAAAGAAGCCATTAGACACGAAAGAGAGAGGTCTATATTGGAAAAAGAGAGTAGGTATCCAAGCTATTTTAGAAAATAAACATGAACTAAAAATCATTGTATATGGCACAATTTACTATCCCTTTCCTCTCTCTTCAGCTTTGATAGCAACAAATTTCTCATCACTGTTCTTGTTCACCTTATTACTAACTATATGAATTAACACCTCTGAAATGAATGGTGTCTCTCTCTAGTTGGAACTGTTATTTCAAACTATCTATTGCCTTAGGCAGAGATTAACACTGGTTATGCTTATATAGTCTCAAAGCTATTTCTTACAGATGCAAAGAAAGGACCATAAGATTCAGCCAAAAATATGTATTATAATGTTACATAGCAGATTAATATGTAATATGTATGTATATGTAATTATGATACACCGATCTCAAGCCCTCAATAGGCATCTTTCATACCTTTCATAAATTCAGGCTTATCTAAAGCAGCAGCCTGAGGACTGCATAGACTGCATGCATGTAGTGACTACGGTTTTCCAGGATGTTAAAAATTACTGGGTAGAGAACCCCAAATGCACACCAAGCAGCACCATACATCGAAATAAATTCACCTAGTTTTATTTCAATGTTGATCCAGTATTAATTTCAGGTGTTTACATATGCATAACTAGCACATACAGGTACACAAACATTTTCAAACAAACATGTAGTGCTTGTGTGAATAGAGGTTTTTTTTCTGTAGAACAATGGAAGAAATTAAGGAAATGAAAAATACACTGTTACTACAGTATCAGCATGGAAAATACAGATAATGTTTAAAAACACAAAGAGTTCCTTCACAACCAGGGCTCAGCCTTGCACACATGTAGTCAGTCAAACTGGGACACCATAAATTCCTGACGATATTCACTAACTACAATGCAATTATGCACCAGAAGGCTGTGTATATCACACACTGCATGTGCTTAGGAGAAACACTGGCCTGATTCCCAGTATGTTACCATGAGGAAGAGATTGAAATTCATAGCCAATCTCACCCAATCACAACTTTCTTTACATCAACCTTACCTCTCCTTCTTCTACTAGGCAGAAATAAAGGTTAGCTTTTCAGCATCAACTGGGAGTTAGATATGCTAAAATACAAACTCATGGAGACACACATTCTGGCAAGAGTGCATGAGTGCAAGTAGAAGATTCCCATATAACACTGGGACAGGATTACATTTCAAAGTTAAATTCAGAAAGTGGAGAAAAAAATAACTTTGCCTCTCAGACTTCATTTCTATTCCTTTATAAGAACAAATACATTCTGTGAGTTTCTGGGATTAAAGAATAATTACTGCCATATTGACATTACAATTATGATTTCTTTGTATTTCATCTTAATGATTACTTACTGATTAAGGAGCAAGGTTGTAAAGGCATAATTTATGTCTCCCATTCATGTTAATATTTCCTTTGATTCTTTTAGTCCCAATGGATAAGGAAAAATCTTCCACTTGCAATTCATTAGACTGCCATTTTGGCCCACTGCTTCCAGGAATTTTGCCTACCTCTCACCAATACTTTTTTCACAAGTGGTCTTGTACCTGAAATCAGGAATGAATTGTTATTTTGCTAGTTATTCTGTAAATGTGTAAGACTGGATTTCCAATGATTATAACAGGTTAAAAGAAGGTTCTTGTTAGAAATATTGCAGATTTGCAACAACTGTGCTATACTGAATCACTTTACTAACCAAACATCTTAAAGCATAAATCTCCACTTCTGCTTCCTGGATCTTATTTGAAAAGTTGCAAATATTCTGCACACAGAAATACAGCATAACTGAGAAACTACATGAAGGAATTACAATCTTGGGAAAAGCATCCTCTATGATGCTAGATGACTAGATGTCGATACTGAGTTATTGCAATAAATTTTGTTAACCTACTGACTGATCTTTAAGCAGAAACATTATGTCTCAGTAAATAACAAATTATCATGGGGTGTTTTGCCTTCCTCTTGAAAACTAATATACTGTATTATACATAAGATAAATGTTTTGGCATAAATGCTTTCTTTCAGATTACCTCTCAAGATTCACCAGTGTTCGGTAAGTCAATCTTTCAATTAGGAGTTTCACAGCTAAAAAGGAGCCAAATACTACTTCAGAAAACTTAATCTTAAGGTTTCCTATTCTTTTGGAATAATTTGAAATATCCTCTCCTTCAAGTTGTGTTGGATCTGAAAGTCAGTTTGGATAATAGGGATATTCATGTAATCATGAAATAAGAGGAAGGCCTGTCACAGCAAGCTAAACATCATTCAGTACCTAAAGCACACTTATGAGTGAAACAATTTGATTACATCCCAAATTACGTGCTGTGTATCTGGACACAGAAGGCTTTCAGAAAAGAATATATTTACTGAAAGAAGAATAGGCAAGGAAAATTATAAAGCTCCATGATAAAAAAAAAAAAGAAACCAATAAAAAATGCAGAAAATTAAAAGAGCAAAGTGCACTCTGATCCAGTGGACTGTTTTTTCTTTACTCTGCTATTTTCCCATCAACACTTCAACAGCTTGCTTTTCTTCACTAGAGCTTTTTAGTTTTCTGGCAATGTTCAAGACTATTGGTGTATTTGGTTTATGTGGCAAGATTTTGGTAGTAGAGGGCTACATGGGTGGCTTCTGTGAGAAGCTGCTTGAAGCCTCCCATATGTCTGATAGAGCGAATGCCAGCCAGCTCCACGATGGCCTTGCAGCTGGCTGAGTCAATTAGCAGCAGCCGTAATGCCTCTGAGAGAACATGTTTAAGAAAGGAAAGAAAATGGAAGAGAGGGGGTTTTGCAGCAGAGTGAGAGAGGAAGATGCAAGAGAGACACCAGCTCTGCAGACACCCATGTCAGTGCAGGAGGCTGAGGAGGTGTTCCAGGCCCCAGAGCACAGATTCCCTGGCAGCTTGTGGTGCAGACCATGGTGAGGCAGGCTGTGCCCCTGCAGCCATGGAGGGTCATGAGGGAGCAGAGACCCACCTGCAGCCTATGGAGGATCCCACACAAGGGCAGGGGATGCCCAAAGGAGGCTGTGACCCCGTGGGAAGCCTGCACTGGAGCAGGCTCTTGGCAGGACCTGTGGACCCATGAAGAGAGGAGTCCAGGCTGGAGCAGGTTTGCTGGCAGGACTTGTGACACCATGAGGGACCTACTCTGGAGCAGGCTACTCCTGAAGGACTGCACACTGGAGCAGTTCGTGAAGAACTACAGCCCGTGGAAAGGACTCATGTTGGAGAAGTTCATGGAGGACTGTCTGCTGTGGGTGGGACTCCACGTTGGTGCAGGGGGAAAGCGCAAGGGGTCCTCCCTCTCATCAGCAGAGACACCGTGTGATGAACTGACCACAACTCCCATTCCCTCTCCTCCTTTACTGCGCGGAGCTAGAAGGTACATAAAAGTGGGAGTGAATTCGAGCCTAGGAAGAAGGGAGGGGTGGGGGAAGGTGTTCCAAGATTTGGTTTTAGTTGTCTTTTACTCTAATTTGATTGGTGATAAATTAGAATTTTACCTAAGATGAGTCTGTTTTGCCCATGGCAGCAATTGCTTAATGATCTCTCCCTGTCCTTAGCTCAATTCACAAGCCTTTCATCATATTTTCTCTCCCCCGCCCAGCTGAGGAACTTTTGTGGGCACCTGGTCTCCAGCCAAGGTCAACCCACCACACCTGGGCACATCATGAAACTGTTTCAACAACCACCTGATAAAGAAGACACCAAAACTAGGAAGTGCCTAGGACTTTTTCTATGTTAGAAGCCAAGGTCTGTGAAATTATTTCACTTTTAAGAATTAAATTGGCCCTGCAGTTTTTGTATCAGATGAGTGTCAACAGAAAGGATAACAGTGAGAGAGCTATCAGGTTTGGGACACATCAGAAGAAAGATGCAAACCAGGACTTTTCAGAAACATGGATGATAAAATTGACTGCAAAAGCACTTTTGCCTTCTTTAGGAGAGAATAATTAAGTACCAGTGACTATGTGAGAAAATAATAGTTCCCTGTGAAAGCTCATTTCCTTCTGCAGGTGCTCTTCAGATATTCATTAAGAACAGGCCATTTCCAACATTGTTATAGCCAGTTAAGATCTATTTCCTAATAGATGTTCATGTATCATTCCTATAAAAAACACCATTTTCTAAGTTTTAGTAATTCCTATCTCATAAGAGATATCCTTAGCATTCATGTATTTATTGAATTATTACATATAATTAGTGGTTTATTATTCTTTGTGGTATCAAGATTTGCATTCAAATACTTTATAATTTTTTAATTATGAAAATCTAGTATCTCTAGAGTGGGTTCCTTGAACCAATCCTCCATTCATGTTTTCAGATAGAATACTAAGGCACCACATTTGTATTTCACAACAAGATGACATAATTTTGGACACACATAATAATAAAATTATGAAAATGCAGTTCTTCATACTTCTTGGGTAACAAAGGCAGGCAGGAGAGACAGAAAAGGAAAAAACCAAACCCATCTTCTATTAAAAAAATACTGCCATAAGTCCCTATATTTGTAAATAGTTTTGACTATATAAATAGTCCTTCCACTGTGCTTTCATTTTTTTTCTCCAGTCATTGAGACAAAGACATAACATGACTGTCTGCCTTACATGCTACTAATTTACACCTATGTAAAAGCTGGAGCACAGGAAAAAACCACCAGGTTATCTGTAAACTTTCATGAATGCATTTTTAAAATCTGTGCTAATTCTAATTGATGAACCTATTTGTTCAAAGAAAATTATCCAAAGAAAGCTACTGTCAAAATTCTAGCCAGCCACCCTGCTGGACCAAACAATGTCAAGGAAACCTACAACTCTGTAAAAAGTGCATCATTTGGAAAACACCACCAAAACACAGCACTTTAGACTTCCAAACTATCTTAGATTTTTTAATGTTTTTATGTGTTAATGAAAAACAGGCATACTGTAAAGCATATTATATGATACCATATACTTCAGACATTCTTTTTTCATGGGAGCTAAAGTATCATTATCATGGTTGTCCTCACATCATCTATGACACCGAAGTAAAAAATTCATGTAGAAAGATATAAATGGCAGGTCAAAGTAAAATTATGTTCTTCTTTTCCCTCCCTCACTCATCACTAAAAACCGTTTAGATTAGCTGTACTCTCTGGTAGACAGATGCTATATTCCTGCTTACTAATAAATTGAATAAGCAAGAAATTTCCCTGCTTTTCATTTTATGATATTAAACATTGGCACAGCACTAACTTCCAAGAGTTCCAGAATGAATTGCAAAACAGCATGGTATTTTACTTAACTCAAAACATTCATTCTTAATCTCTTCCCCTCTCCCCTCATCCCCCAAGTATTTCTATTTTGAAAAATTCAATGATTTAGCAGAATCTGAAAGCATAAGGTTTAAAAAAGTGATAAAGGGGGTGCAGAAATTAGCAGAGGTGGCACTACCTGAAAGCTCATCAGAAAGGGGAGTGAGAACAATATCAGGCAAGAAGGGTTTGGAAGTATGGATCAGAACAGGAGCACTTTTAGCACTGCGTATATAGGCTGATGGCAGAGCACATTCACCAATGGATCGGCTTCTCATAGCTTTAAAAAGGAAAAGAAAGAAGTGGGGAAGGAAAAAAGAAGAGTGACTATAATGAAAAGCTTGTGTCACAGAAAAAGCAGCAACAGAGAAAACAAAGATAAAAAGGAAGAAAATTCAAAAATTAAAACATTTCAGCACAGCAGATATTGGCAGAGCTGTAAGAAAGAAAAGTATCAGTGGACACATAAGACTTTTTGAATTTTTAACTTTTATGTAAAGCAGCAACAATGCCTTTATTATAATGATTACAGAGATTTTGCATTCAGAATCAAGAAACTAATTAACACTTCTTTTTTCCCATTGCATCAGGGGTTGAAAAATCAAAGTTCAAGTCATGCCACAAGCACTCAAACTCGAAATTTTTAACAGAAAAAAATCCTTACACTACATCTGCATTTTTATAGTTTCCTTTGGTGTACTCCTGAAAAAGTATCTCTAAATTTTGCACATACCCATGCTCTTGAATTCAAGATTCTCCAAATGAGATTCAAAAGCATAAGGAGAAAATGATCAATAATGTGTGGAGAAATTTGCAGTACAACTTGTTATAGCTCCACATTAAAAATGAAATGACTGAAGTGAAATGGTTTGACAACAAAAAACATTATATTGTTTCTTATCCATAGGGTCTGGCTTTTATCGATACTGGATAAATCTTGCTAAACTGATCCCAATGCACCTTTTCATATCTCATCTCCTGCCAACAGTCCTACAGAATGGAAAACATACATAAGAATTATGGTATCAAGATCAAGGTTTTATCTGCAGCTTTTCAAATAAATGAATCTTTATGCTATTTGCTTTCCTTTGTCAGAGTAAAACATAGCAGAAACTGATACTGCATTCAGTTTCAAAGTATACTTAAGTTCTGCAGAAAGCAACATTCATTGTTTCCAAAGCAGCTTCTTTTTCAAACTGTTGCAAATTGGAAAGTTGTTTTAAAATAGTTGCTGATAAATGTCTTTTAAGGAAACTTCAGTGCATTTTACATAAATATTGTCAGTACCATATTTACTCAGCCTTTGAACTTTCCTATATCTATTTTCAAAACAACATGGAATACAGACTTAGAATCTTAGTGCTCCTGATCTGTATGGGAATCAGAAGTACATGAATGGAGTGCAGTGAAACTTGAGCACATCAGATTCCTAACTCAAGTTAAAGTACTGTTCCTAACAGCAACATGCAGATAACTTGGGTGGGTCAATGTACAGAGCAGAAAACACATTTAACAAATTCAGCACAAGTTAAGCGGTTTCTTAACATCAGTTTGAAAAAACAATTTGAAACAATTCTCTATTAAACTTAGTTTATAAGACAGAAACCAATCCTAGAACCAAAAAAGGCAATTAAGGCTTTAACATCTCTTTGTTTAAGAGGTACAACAATAAAATACAGGATACAGTGATAGTTAGATGCATTACATTATCATTATGCACCTTAAAATGAATGTAGGCAAGAGAAAAAAAAACAAGTTACATAGTAAATCTTAAGGGTCTTTTACAACCTAAGTGATTCTATGATTCTAATTAACCCAAGCTTTTGAGATTATATATACTGTGTTCATTACAAATCCTAACATAAAGTGTCCCTTATAATTTGACTGGATCTTTTCCACCATATTATAATGATAGTAGCGAGAAGGGGGCAGAACAACCCATTTACAAACTGGAAGGCAGAAATTTTACAGAAACTTTTGAAGGAAAAAAATGCAGAGTATTATTATTGAAATTGAGATGCTGTAGTAAAAGGAAAATATGTCATTTATTATTTTAAATAAGATGTATCACATTCAATTAAGTAGTTAAGTAGAGGCAGACTTAATACCAGAATGTTAACTAGATATTTGACAGTTTATAACCTTCCATTGTTGTCTACAGACAAAAGCAGAACAATAGATTAGTTCATTCTTTCTGATCTGGTATATTTATAGGACTAGAATGTGCCACTTAAGCCATAAATTCTCTATCTAGCCCTATAGAAGATTTTTCAACCCATACGCATATCACAGAAAGGCCCTTTTCCAAAAATTACTTTACATAAGTTCAGGCTAAAAATGTACACACTGCATATCAGAAAAGCCGTGATTTTTATTTGAGTAACACACATACACACAAAGTTGGTGCAGCAATAAATGTGTGCTGGCATGAGGATAGCTCAAAAAATAGAGGTGCACAGATGTACACAAAACGTGTACAACATAAAACAGATGAAAAAAACTTCAGCTTTTTCTTACCATAAAATATTCAACATGCACATCTCCCCTACTCAGATATAAAAGAGTATTTTACTCACAATCAAAGGAAATACACTACATATCAGATATTATGTAACGTATCTGAGGTCTGACTCAATTCTAGATTTAGTTTGTGGAGCTAACATTAAACTGAAGGATAAGAAAATTTTACTTGTTGTGCCTATAAACTACTTTTTTTTATTATGTGACCCTGTGTTAATTGGCACAGATTAAGAAGCACTTGTCTTAGAAGACCTGAGTGACAATAACAGGCAACTGTTTGCAGACAGTTAAGACAAGTAACATATTCTTCATTAACATTTTAAAAAACAGAAGAGGTTGAGATTCTGGCTCTTACAACTCTTTTTGGGCTTTCGTCTTTTAAAACCATCCTACTAATGCTGTGATGCTTGTCCACAGCTGGTATTCTGTGGACAAGCATCTGGTATTCTATATGAATAGAGTTGAAATTTTAACTATTTACAGTAATATAAACTTGGTCTAATAATATCAAATACGTAAGATAATTGGAAGAAAGGAACAAAACCATGGAAGCTAAACTACAGTGAAGCTAAAATCAGGTTAGTTTGCTGCTAACCAGGTCAATATATTGCTTGATTAGGATAAATTTCAGTCCCTTTAGGGCTAACATCATGTAAACAGCCATCTTTCAAACAGAAGCAAAACAAACCCATTAATTGACCAAACAACACAAACAGAATATCTGAAATATTAACAATTTGCAAAAAAGAAATTTTAACATGAGCTTTACCATGTTAAGACAATTAAGATTTAAACAAAAAACACTACAACAGTTAATCACAGACTATCTACAGAGAAGCAGAAATTACATTTAAAGTGTCTGTGATCCATAAGGAAAACTTCAGTCAAACTAAGTGCTGTCAGCATAAGATACAGAAAAAGCTGTATAGCATTTGAATTCTTAAAAGAGAGGCAATTTTGGAGTAGTGACTTCATTTTCTCACATATCTGTCCTGCTTATAGAACAATTAACTCTTCTGCACCAACAAAAGCCTTACGAGAAAACAATTCTTAGAATTTTGAAGAATATTCAAATGAAAACTCTGACTAAAAATCTCTGACTTAAAGAAAATTAATTGCAAATATTTTTTGAAAGAGAAATAAAATCTTAATTTCTAAAAAGCTAACAAAATTACATATTCAACTCTCAACATGCATGCCTGGTTTCTAAGTGTCAGAATGTACCTGCTTCCACGAAGCACCAGTGAAGCAACAACACACAGTGACTGAAGTCACTACTACTATAAAGATAGTAAAAAAGCATGAGATATTCCTTAAAAGATTCTTCTTTTAAGTAAAAAAAGTAAAATTAACTTGATTTTCCTTCACATAAGGAATAGCACTGAGATCAAGATGAGACAATAGAATAAATAAATTTGTAGTCCAGTTCATGTTAAAATAGTATAAGCAAATCATATGAACATAACTGAATATTCTTTTAAGCAATCCACCTAAAGCCCTGTTCAGCATCACTCACTTCTAACACATCTGCAAGTAATGATATTGAAAAATAGACGACATCAGAAATGGAAAATTGCACACATATGTGCCAATCTTTCATTAATGAAAGATTCAAGGTATAGTAAAAGACAACACATTTTATAAACTATGCAGATATGATATATACATATTTCTCACACTTTTCTTCGCACAGTTGGAAAGCAGCCTATTTTGAGTACAGTTTATGAAAATATGCACTTCAAAAGCCTTCTATTGCCCACCTATCCATAAAACCGCTCAAACCATTCCAGTTTTTTTGTCTCTCATACACATACAATAGTATTGTTTTCCCAATCCAGCCTAAGCATGTGATCAAACTCTCGAAGAATACATAAACTGCATTACTTTCATTTGCAGTAACTGTAATTCTAGTAGCCACAAGTTATTCAGCAACCCTAAAGCACATAAGGCTGCATAATTTACAAATTTAACTAGCTGTTATAGATAGTATACCTTCATGGAAAGATGTTATGCTCTAATAACAGAAGTCAGTTATTAATTCCTTACCCTTTCTCAGATGTCACTTATATCATCTTTTACAGATACATACCAACTGTTTTCTGCCGCACTATGCTTCTTGCCTTTTCTGTTCCTGGGGAGCCAGTGGTTGTAGCACTGCGTTGTCTCATTGGTACTTGTCCAGGCTGATCACGGCTCCAGCCTCTAGAAAAGGACTTATCAATGGAAGATTTTGGGAATTCATGCCCAGCACCTGCAAAAACAGAATTGAAAATCTATTCACTACTATTCTGGTGTCAACAGACATTTATACTTAATGTTCTTTCCAAGAGTCTTGAAGTTGAAGAGAATAAACTATGTTCTCAAAGCAAGCATGATTTTAAAAGCTAAATGGCTCCTTACTGGTTTTAAAATACATAAACCCACTCAGCCAGCATTAACACTGAGAAAAACTCAAACGTTTTCAGAAACGTTGATGTTAAACTACTGTGATTTTCTTTTCTGACCAATCAAGTACAAAACCACGATAAAACTGGGTTTACAAAGGTTGTATCCTCACTAAAATGTGTAATGACACACATGAAACTTTTCGTTCACTGTTCCTATTACACACAGAAAATCATATATTACAGACCATTAATATTGTGGGTTTTTTTACAAAGAATTTAATAACATTTAAGGAACAGGAAAAAAAAGGTGACAGAATATTTTAACACCAAATGCAAAAGCAGAAAAATGGGATGACTGGATTAGAGAACAATGCTCTTTGGAAATTCATAAAAAATACTATACTAAGAAAAGATGGAACAAATTCAGATTTGACATTTACACTGAAGTAAATAAAACTCATACGAGAAACTATGAAAAACAATGGTATGTAAAAAAAGTTATCTGAAGAATATTTGCAATGTATTTCCCTATCCACACAGAACTCATATAATCCAAAATTATACTTGATAAACAATTACAATCATTAAAAGGGCATCTTCTTGGAAAGTGTGCCTTAGTACATGATGTTCATTATTATCAGCAAATGAACAGGGCCAAAGAAACTTGGCATAATTTGTATAATATTTATTACTTCCAAAGCTGAAGTTAACTCTGCAACTCACTATTGTTAACAATAGGGGCTTTCTCTGGAACTCTATTACTGGCTAACAAACTCTTCTCTCGTGGCTCTATATGGGTGCTATACGTGATTCAAAGTGGTTTTTAAACCTATTTTCAACTAACCATACACATTCTTGCCTCAGATCAGACTACTACCTTTTTTTTTTTTTTTTTTTTTTAACCGACAAACCCAAGCATATTGTAGGAAGTACCTTCCCTCAGGTTTGACTGGAGAACCACATCAATCAGAACACAAAGAGATTAAAATGTAGACTAAAAATTATACTTTTTTCTATCTTTATTACACACTAAATATAAACCTGCCTCTCAATATTAGATCTCAATAGCATTTTTTCAAGGAGAACAGTACCATTACCCGTGTTTTACAGAAGTGGACAAAGACAGAAGTGATTGATCATGGTCACATGCAGAAAGTCTCTGATCTGGGAAGAAAATCCAGGTTTTGCAAATCTCAATCCAGCACTCTGTCCAGGAGGGCAGACTTCCTATTCCTTACCAATTCCAGATCCGTACCATTACAAGCAAGTAGCCGCCTTTTCTTCCCACTTTATGTCCTACAGATTATTTCCTGCATTGTTTAGGAATCAGTTTAAAAACTGGTACCATTCATACAGATTACTGAAAGTATCCTTTCTCTTAAATAGTCCAACAAGGTCACTTTGACGAAACCTTTCTTCCCCATGGCTTAGTGATGGATTAGAGCCCAAATCAAACTATATTCATCTCACATTTCATCTTTAAACATAACTTGTTGGATTTCAGGATCGATATCCCAATTGTGCTTGCCATAGTCACTTGCAAGCTAGCTAACTAATTTTTACCAGCTGTGTAATCTTTGTTACTCTCAACAAGTTATGATTGGGACTGTTATGACTGGCAGCCCAGAAGGCCGACCGTATCCTGGGCTGTATCCAGAGAAGTGTGGCCAGCAGGTCTAGGGAGGTGATTCTGTCCCTGTACTCCGCTCTGGTGAGACCCCACCTGGAGTACTGCGTCCAGCTGTGGAACTCCCAATATCAGAAGGATATTGACCACTTGGAGCGAGTCCAGAGGAGGGCCACAAAGATGATCAGAGGGCTGGAGCACCTCTCCTATGACGAAAGGCTGAGAGAATTGGGGTTGTTCAGCCTGGAGAAGAGAAGGCTCTGAGGAGACCTCATTGCAGCCTTCCAGTACCTGAAGGGGGCCTACAAGGATGCTGGGAGAGGACTTTTTACAAGGGCCTGTAGTGACAGGACAAGGGGTAACGGGTACAAATTGAAAACAGGGAGGTTTAGATTAGATTTCCGCAAGAAATTTTTCACGGAGAGGGTGGTGAGGCACTGGAACAGGTTGCCCAGAGATGTTGTGGATGCCCCATCCCTGGATGTCTTCAAGGCCAGGCTGGATGTGGCTTTGAGCAACCTGGTCTAGTGCAAGGTGTCCCTGCCCATGGCAGGGGGGTTGGAACTAGATGATCTTTAAGGTTCCTTCCAACCCTAACCATCCTATGATTCTATGATTCAACTATTTAATTGTTTTGATAAAAGGAGAAAGACATAACCCACTACAGTGTAACATTTTAGCTTTAAATGAACAGACTTAAGAACAATACTTCATATATGCCTCATGATTTGCACAAGTGAATCTTTACATGGAGATTTTGGGGTGGTTATAAAAAGCAGCCTTATCTTAAAGAAACCGGGTTATTTCAGGTGATAGAGATGCCTCAGCTCAAATACCCCAGCTAAATTCAAATTATATGCATACAGTGTTGCCTTACCTTTGCCTTTGTGTTTTTTCTGCTTCTGCTCACTTAATTTATCCAACGGCAGGTCAGTGAGGTCCAGGCTATATAAGTTTCTAGCCAATACTTTAGTTAGTGTCTCCATTGTCAGTGACCACTCAGTGGCCAGCTCTTCCCAATATGTCAGTGATGACATTACAGACAGCAAGTCATCCCAAAGCTCTCGAGAGATGTACACATTTAGATTTGCTTTGATCCAAGCTACTATAAGAGTCTAAAAGAATAAAGTGAGAAAAGTCGGGTTCCAAACAAAAGATGTTAACATTCAAATGTTACTGCTTAAGAAGTTTCTAACTGCCACAGAAATTTCTCTGTATTACTGACACTCTTTTCCTCACCAATACACACAGACTTTTAATGGATTATCCAGTGTTATGTTAGCATGGGCTTCTGACTTGGATACAGAAAAAAACTGGTTTAACTCTAAAGATCTTTCAGTATCTTACAAGTTTTGACAAGGAGTTTTGTAATACTGTTCTCAATTAGTTCTCATCTCATTTGTATCTTGTGTATCCTTTTTTTTTTTCTACTAAAGAATCTAGAGACTTTACAGTTTCTATTTACAGAGAAGCTGCTACAACAGCACTCTGCAACTGTAAACTTTGAATGGATCTGATACTACTGTAAGGAATAAAAAAAATCGGTAGGTTAAGTATGGATGGCACAGAAATGCTGACTTGAGCTAATTTTGCAATGGAAGCAGGCTACAGCTGCACACATGGCCAGTTATCCCAACTCAGCTAAAGGATGGGAATTTTTAAATTTCAAAGTACCCCAAAAACCACTGTCAGTGTTATTAAATATAGGACAGAAAGTAACATAACAACAGCCACTCCTTTAACCCACACCATTCGCATTATCTGGGTAACATGGTCAATGATTTAAGATGACAAACCAGCCAACAGTGGTTGTTGCATTATCTCTTAGTTAAAATTAAACTGAATTAATTAATGTGAATTTTTGTTTAATTGCCTGGAAAAGGGGTCCTGCAAGTCTTCCAGCTAAAGTGGAGTTTTTTCGTCCTTGATATTGCAACAAAGTTTGGGGTGGTATTTTCAGTACAGATTCAGTCACCCTGAGTAGCACAAATAGCATCTGTTCCCTGCAAAACAACATTAAACTTGGAGTTACCATTGTTATACTTCTGTATATACAAGGATACTTTTAAAGATTATATACAAGGATACTTTTAAAGATAATAACCAAGCTCTACTTGCTCAAACACATTCCAAATAGGACACAGTGACTACAAACAGCCTATCTTAGTTCTTGCAAAAGAAATTACTCCAATTTCCTTTGCACACTTAAAAGCCAGGAACCCCTGTCGCCCTCTAACTTTTGCCACGTCATTCAAGTGCTATAACCTTCAATGGCCTGAAATTACAATCAAAGTTTTAGTTTTACTTCAAAACTGGGCTTTTGCTTTTTTGCTTCTTTGGGGATTTTTTTGTGGTTTTGTTGTTGCTGTATCAATGTCAGGCTTTGGCAATGCTACATTATCATTAACAACCTTCATCAATATTTTGTGTGGCACAATCTTTGCTATCACAGTCCATAGTCACTTCTTCACAGTGATGTGGAACTGGGGAAGAAAAGACAAATGTAGTGGTATGTTTTCTCTTGTTACTCCCAAATTTGGCAGTGGCTAGCCTTGAACTGACTCCTTATTTCCTCACAGGAGGAGACTAGCTTCACATAACATGTAATGACAGCTCTACATACCCAGAACTCAAGAAATACTAGTGACAAATTGAATGCAAGTCAAGTTAAAATGGAGTAAATCAGCCATTTGAAATCCCCTTGGTCCTACTTCCTTGCAGTGGAGAATAGCGGCAATACACTACCTCATTAGAGACAGCTATTTAAAGGAGAGGGGGGAAAAAAGAGAAATTAATTTGAAAGTGAAAGTGCCTTGCATCTGCTAGGCACTTTAAGCACTGGAAAGGAACAACACATTTATACAGTACACAGACTCTTGCACACAATCATAGATGAAGAGCAACCCACAACTGATTATAGTAGTTACTCATGCTTATCAGAGGATTTTTTGTTTACTTTCAAATAAGGCTCTGAAGCTTCATACATGTTTTCATATCTAGCACTCTGACGTATGAGCAAAACACCCTGGCAGTAAGTCAGCAGTAGCTCCTTAATACTAGTTTGTATATGTATCTGGCTTTAACAGAGGAAGTAATCTCTTCCCCTGTGTTGTCTGTGATGCTGAAGTCCATGTATTTACTGATTTAGAGAAACTAGTTCATACAGTCAGTACCACTCTACTGTATTTACTACCATGCAAATTTTCACATTTATTTTCTGAACAAATAATCTAAGAAAAAAGTATTAGAATTTTACCATGTCTTCTTGTCCATAGTCACTTGAACTACCATGTGGCGATAGATATTAAGAATGCGTTTACACATATCAGTGTGTTCATCCAGCAGAGCTTTAATTTCATTGGCAGGTTCAAGAAAAAATATATTTGAAGAATTTATTATAAAAACCTGTAAGTAGAAAAGAGTGGATGTTATGAGCTTGAAACACTTGGAGGTTTTCAGAAATTCAGATAACAGTAACCAGGAAAAGAAAATCTAGATTAACAGAAAAAGCTGTATATATACTCAAAAGTATATATTTCAACGTAAGGTAGCTTGATGTGATGCTACAGCAACAATAAGACTGATTTTTTTTCCCTTTTTGTTTCCTACAAAACATATTCTTGGCTACATCAGGAGGTGGCCAGCAGGTTGAGGGAGGTGATTCTGCCCCTCTACTCTGCTCTTGTGAGACCCCACCTGGAGTACTGTGTCCAGCTATGGAGCCCTAAACATCAAAAGGATATAGACCAGTTGGAATGAGTCCAGAGGAGGGCCACAGAGGTGATCAGAGAGCTGACGCACCTCTCCTATGGGGACAGGCTGAGAGAATTGGGCTTGTTCAGCCTGTAGAAGAGAAGGCTCTGGGGAGACCTCATTGCAGCCCTCCAGAAGCTGAAGGGGGCCCACAAGGAAGCTGGGAGGGGACTTTTTACAAGGGCCTGTAGTGACAGGACAAGGGCTAATGGGTTTAAATTGAAAGTGGGAAGGTTTAGATTAGATATCAAGAAGAAGTTCTTCGTGGAGAGGGTGGTGACATACTGGAACAGGTTGCCCAGAGAAGTTGTGGATGCCCCATCCCTGGCTGTCTTCAAGGCCAGGCTGGATGAGGCTTTGAGCAACCTGGTCTAGTGGAGGGTGTCCCTGTCCATGGCAGGGGGGTTGGAACTAGATGATCTTTAAGGTCCCTTCCAACCCAAACGATCCTATGATTCTATATTTGTATATTCTTGCTGTCACCGACAGATGGTACAACAAAGCATTCAATACGACTATTTTAACTGACAGACAAATATGTCCCAGCAAAGTAGTCCACTGCACAAAAGTTCCACCTCTAAGCCAGTAACTGACTAGTACAATACATGCTAAACTACTTGAAATAGTTCTGGCACACAGTGTGTGTTTCAGCATGACAAGACCTGTATTATGTTCTGGGAAACTAAAGCATTCATCCGTCTGTGATCAGTAAATCTTACCAGAAGTAGGAAACAGGATACCTTCTCCAAAGTGGTTGATTTCAGTGGATAGTGAAAATTAGGGCTTTCAGAATGAAAATTATGAAAACAAAATAGGCAAGGACTTTGCAGGTGTTACAGGAACTACTTAAGTGTTGTTATATTATTATGTACATTTAGGAAGCATTTGAATCACAATGAGCCCTAGACTTCCAATTAATTTTTATTGATCTTTTTTAATCCACATGTACAAGAAATCATTGGTTCTATAGTTGACATTTTCCTCTACAGACCACTTCAGATTGTTATAATTAAAAACTGTCAGTATGCAGCTTTACATTCACTAGCCTCAACTAATGAGCTATCCCAACTCTAAGTGCCTAGAAGTAAGTCTATGCAAGAATTAAATGCAAAGAAAAATCAAGACAGAAGTATTGGATTGTTGATTCACAGAAAGAGGACAAATATGGTTCCAGGTCAGGAAACTTTGCGAATTCAGACATAGGACTGGATTAGAATGATGTCTTGATGCTTTTCAGTCTAAAAAAAGTATGTGCTGGTCAAATGACTCTTCTAGGCATTCTCAGATGTACAAACCTTAGTAATACACTGCAAACAGATTAAAGATACTTCACTGATCCTTTTCTCAGAAACACTTCATAGTCTAAATAGTCATTGCATGTAAAGATTATGAAGCTTAAATTATTATAACATATTTGAATTCAAAAGTGGTTTCAGTTCCAAAGTTTATTTCTTTATGTAATAGTGTAGAGCACAATAGGAAACCCTATTCATGAAATCATTCAAGCTGTGGTATAAACAATGAGTTCTGATTAGCATGGTGACCCATGAAAGAAGTGTACACAGCGGGGCAGCAAATGCACATGTATTTTATTTTATTTAGAACCATTTTCTTCTAGATAAAAGAATATTATGGAGGCTAGAGTCATATACACACCTATATGTATGTACGTGCATGCGTATTACATGAAATACATATTACATGAAATGGACACATTCTATATAACACTAAAAGCATTTCAAAAGACCCTTAATAGCTTAAAAGAAAAAAGCTTCTGAGCATTCTCATAAACACTTAATTAGAATAATTTGACAATGTGGCACTCAAATGAGAGTTATGTTTTCTGTGATATGATGCAGCGCAGAATGCATGTCCTGATGTAAAGATAAAAAAATTTTTTCCTGTGTTATCAAAGACTTGTGTACACATTGTCCTACTTAAGGTCAATAAAAATGTAATGAACCACTGTCATTTTTCTAACCTGATTTATCATCACACTTTAAAAATCTAAAATAATTCTTTAAATTCAGAAATGCTTTGAAGGAGCATGGGTTTCCCTTGCACGAGTATTCCACTGTATTTCACTCTTTATGTACTGCTAACAAGAGCTTTATAATTAGGATGAAAATTAGGTATCAAGTCTATTTCATACCTGCAATACTGACTGCACTCCAGCTCGTACATTTTGCTCTTCAGTATCAATTTCAGACATCTTATGCAAAATGTCTTTGTAACAGCCATTTCTTGCCCAGTTTGAATTTCTAAGATGACTGAAGTTCATCCCTTTCTCCTGAAAAATATTTTTTTCTTAAAATCCCACAGATTGGTAGACAGGTATTTTGTTTGTATATTAAAGGAAAGAGGATATAATAGATATTAAAGAGGATATAATAGATATTAAATAGAAAACAACGGTAGGCAGATGTTTAAGATGCATCTTAAAGACACAACTATATTTTAAGAAGTTTGTAACAATTGTTTTAAAGTATCTGGATGAAATAACTACTATTTGCCACATCCTTTCATTTGTATATATTTTCTACACAGCTGAAGGTCGGCATACTGTATAATCCACATCTTGAGAATAATTCATAAAACTGTATGAAATTTTAAATTGAACCAACCTCATAAAAAATCTACAGATAATGGATCAAATTGGTAGCCCATTCATACACTGTTTAATTACCACTGATTCTCTCCAACACATGCTCTGACATCAAATTAAACCACATATAACCCATTGAGGAGGCCACTTCTCTGTCTACAAGCATATCCAAAAGATACACAAATATTAACCAACAATATTTTACCTCTTCTCTTTCTTTTGCTTTCTCTGATGAATTGTGGTCAACAACACTTCCATCACAATCTACAGTTGTGCACTGCATTATTTCTTCAGGTTCTTTCATAAATAAAGGCTTGTCTTCTTGCTGAATCCATTCCTGATACACCTTTACCACTTTCCTCATGGCAGCTGCTTCACATATCGGCAATAGAAATGCCTGTGATTAGAAAAAAAGACAAAAAAAGTTACAATACAAAAATCAGGTTGGGCTCTATAATGTACAGGTTCTAAGGGATAAGGGGGAAAAAACACACAGCCACTGTAGGATCTTAACAAATAAATTACTCCTGCACCTAAATGTTTGCTCACTTTCTTAACCTGTAAACTAAAAACATGAAAAAAATGTTTTAACAAGAAAACTTGTCAAGAAAGTATGTCAAAAACTTCACTGCCAAAGAGACAGAGATAAGAATCCATACAGGCATATCTACTAGACACATAGCCAGCTGAAATTAAGGTCCAAACACTCATCAGAAGTATGCAAAATGAATGAGCAGAAGTTTCTTACAACATCTCCCATTCAGAGGACTTGGAAGCATGGAGTTCTACCAGTTCTAAATGACTAACAAAATTTCAAGTGACATATATATTACTGGTAACCATGTATCTTATTTTTAGCTAAATAAGATCTTACAAAACAGTACTTTTAAAACAAATGACTCCCTGAAAAGACTTCAGAATTATTGTTTCAAAAAATCATGCATGTGAGTCAGTGTGACATCTGACTAGTGCCCTCTTCAGGAGGTTTTCTGCATCTGTGCTCATGGCAACCAGTCAAGAGATCAGAAACTTTTAAAATTAGCCAGGTCTTAACTATAAATACATTTACCGAAGACCATGATGCTCTAATTGTATTTAAAAATAAAGAATAGGTAAACTACACTAACACATAGTTTTCTGCTGTTTAAAGCAATTAGGTGTCATGCATTTCAATTGAAACCTAGTATATTTTTCTTTACTATTATTCAGAAAACTCTCTTCATCTTTTGACCTATAGCATGGGGCATAAAGAAAGTCTATCTTGTTCTATTCTCCCACACTGAACTCAAAATTATGTATTTTCACATTGTAAGTAAAGACTCCATATTCTGGCATATGTTCTCAGCTTAAATTTGCTTAATAATTCCGCTGAGAAACACTATTTTGAGTATGCTCAGCTAACATTTATGATTGCAGTAAAGTCAGCAGCAGAAGCTATTGCCTTCTGTAGCCATCTGTCCCACTCTTCTGATGAACATTATCAAGGTAAGGATATTCGATTGCTCCTAAAACAGCTCTTTGACAGCTGCAGGCTCCCACAGAAGGTTTATTTTAATATGATTGGTTGTGAGCACTAATAGCTACAGGGCTGATGTATGAAAAGATCAAACTAAGCAAATGCTCTTGAAAGAAAACCATGACATAATGATTGTTTACAATACAATAATCATGATTCTTGCATTCTAAAGGGGGTTCTTTACCTGTCGAAAAATCTCAGTTAGAAAATTAACGTTGCTTCTTTTAGAAAAAAATACTTTCCGGACAATTTCAATATCAGTTAAATGCTCTTCATCAATACTGCAGAGGCTGGAAGAACTTGGTTCTCTCTCTGTTAGAGTACTTGTATTAGAATGAGATTGTTCTGGCTCTGCATTTCTATCCTGCTTATCAGCACTGTCATTTTTGCTGTCCTCCCTTGAAGCCATGCTAGCAGCTGCTCTCTGAAACAAAAAAAAAAAAAAAAAAAAAAAAGAGTATTTCATAGCTCATTTTTAGTACAACAATTGAAAAGTAAAATTTAATTTATACAACAGCATAATTTAAAACAGTACAAAGAATTCAGGAAAAAACCCCCCAAAGACAGGATTCACTGCATATCAAGTGAATAATATATTTTTTTAATTAAAAAAAAAAAAAGGCAAGCAGAATTTGGGGGGGGAGGGGGGAAGCATAGCAAGACCTTCTAAAGGACTGCTGACATAACAATTTAAACAAAAATATGAAAACAGCATTTTTTTGTATATTTGGTTTTACCTGAATATTCTTTGGTACATTTTCACCTTCCATCCCAGGAATATGAGGTCCTGTGTGAGGTTTTGGCTCAAGCCAGAAAGACACCAACCATCGAATGACAATAACACGAGCCTTAATAAAAGGTTCCTTTGTACAATATGTTGCCTCATGGGTTTCAGCATCTTTCTTAATCATTACATAATTTGGCTTTGGTCTCGTTTGTGGTATATCTGTAAGGACACAAAACATCTAAAAACCATGTACAGAGAGAAAGCTCTATATAAGAAAGAAATATTAAGACCATAACCAATATATGTGAACTTTCAGAGGTGCTGTTTTTTCATATTCACTGCTGCACAACTCATCCCAAGATGTGCCAAAATGGGCATAATAGAAAATTTCAAGACTAGACTACAAGACATCAAAAGGCTGTAATTTTCTCCCGGGGAGAGACACTACTGTTGGTCCAACAGACTTGTTTCTCCTATGGAATTTTTTTTTTTTTTTTAATCTGACAGCAATTTCTGTAGTTTTACATCCTTGCTTGCATCTTTTTTCTAAACAAGTAAACACACTTGTTTTCATTGTTTTCAATTTTCTTTTAAGCTACTGTGATACTCAGTATTTAAAGCTAAACTTCAACAAACCCACTACTTCACACTTTCACTGAACACTACGAAGGAATTCTAAGCAGCAAAGTAACTAACTAGACTAGAATATGACCTAATCAAGAAAACTGTTTTCGTATAGAATTAAGAATAGTGTCAAATTCCTTAATCATTACAAAGTATTTAAGTTACTAAGCCACATTAATGTAATTCATACCATTTTACAACCTTTTAAGAGTCCTATATGTCACTTATTTCCTACTACCAAATCTACTGATAAAAAGCAGATGCAGTTAAGATGCAAGGGATCACCACATCTCCTAAAGTATCCCTAGAAAAAGCTCTCTGTTGGCCTGCAGCAATCCACAATAAAAATATATAATTAGTGATAAGGGTCATCAGTTCTTTACTGATACAGATCCCAAGATCTAATCACAGCTACAATGGGAGCTTTAATTCCAAATTGCGTTCTACCAGGAGCTGCAATAAATGTAGCCTCTCCTGAGCCTGCAATAGGTGAAAGATGTATACAAGAGAGAAATCCTGATCCAAAGCCATGTATTTCACAGCTTCATGTAATGCCACATCTACACTAGCTGATTTTGCTGGACTTTGCTGCTGACTTAGCTGAAAGATGATTTCTGTGGCAATAGCTTCTGTACTAGCTTGCAGGGAATGTAAGGAATGATGCCATCTTTCACCCCCATCCAATTAGGCAGGAACTGCGGTTATTTGGGGTCTATAACCTATAACCTGCGGTTATTTGGGGTCTACACCCCATGCTCTACACTATGGTTTGGAACTGCTTTAGCTCTTCTGGTTCTCTACTGTGCTAGTGACAAAGAGGTTGAGTGTATTATCGGTATTCCTGAATCTGCTTCAGAAAAAAATAAGTCTTTAACCACTCAACATGGACAGAACTGACACGTGCAGTAGGGGGACAGGGGTACACGGATGGACAGATTAAATTGTGTATAATGCACATTTCTGCAAGGACAAGTATCAGTAGCCCAGTTCAACTCCAGACATAGATCAGCCAACTTAACACTGCAAAATGTCATTTCTGGGTTTCACAACCCAAGATAGGGTGCAGAACAGTTCTGCAATACCAATCATCATCTGAAGCAGCTACAAAACTTTCAGGTGCATTTCTCTGGGAGCGGTGTCCCAACTTTAGTTCTAGAAGGGCAAGTATTTGCTCAGATACCAGAAGTAGATGAAAATTGTCTGAGGACTGATTATGACGTGATGTCAGAACACAGGCTGCTGCTGGTGTTTCAGTATCACAATTTTCATCAGGTGAATGCACACACACACAAAATATACCACAAAAACAAACCAACAAACCCCCACAAAACAAAAAGGAGGAGGCATGGAAAATTATGGTCCTATCCAGATATGGAGAGTGATAGATTGGACAGAGATGGTATTTTCAGCACTGCCATAACTCTTCTATAGCTTGCAGTACATGACTGAGATGGTTCCATGGTTCTACAGGTCAGAAGGCAGTTCAAAGATACTAATGATGGGAGTCAATGCAATGTAGTCATGCTAAAGAATATAATGTTGCTCCCCGACTATATCTTCCTAATGCTAAGGTCAAGAATTCTTTTAAGGGATCCAGCATAACTTCTGCCAGGAGGCAGACAACTGAATAGCAGCAAAGAATCATAGAATCATAGAA